ACGGTAAACTGATGACAATATCGAGCGAATGGCTGCGAACTTCGAATCTATCTCATAAAACCACGTTCTACATTACATCGAACTAGGATTATTTTAGAAATCGATATGAGATTCAAAGTGTAAAAATGTCTAGTACTTTGAATGTTTTAGAAAAGTATTCGAGATAAAGATGTATGGAACTACTGAAAATTACTTTAGATTCCTTTTCCTTATTCTGTAAATTCTTTGATTGGAATATGAATGTTGCTGGAAGTATGAACATTTTCACAGGACAATGATATAAATGGAACTTTAACACTTTTTTAAGTGTTACAGTGATATTTCGTTGGCCTCAGTATTATCGCACTGCGTCGAACGCGGATAGCATGATGTTGTAGTCGCAAGGGAGCAATTGAATCGAATAGACGTATTGTACCGTAGCGCATCGTATCGTATTTCAAATTTTTATATCATTATATTTTATATGTACATATGAATATTCCAATAAACATACGTCAGGTAATATAAGCTTCATTTCATCGAATTGTCTTAAATATAAGTGCATAAATATTGTACAATCTTATACTAATTATAGTTGTCTGGTTCAACAGGTTACTACGGAAACGAACTACTGCCTACGTCTTTTAAACTTGGGCTGTAGGAGTATCTGTAGAAGTTCTGATAGAAGACAGTTTCTGCAGATACTCCTACAGCCCAAGTTTAAAAGACGTAGGCAGTAGTTAGTTTCTCTAGTAACATGTTGAACTAGACAACTATAATTAGTATAGGATTGTACAATATTTATGCAGTTATCGGTCTCACCACACGGTATCTCTGGCGCCTACCCCGGGGGTTCTGTAACCCCCGTTCTCACCATACGGGGTCTCCGGCGCTTCCACCAGGGGCTTTGTGACCCCACGCACTCGTCCACTGGGTCACTGGCGCCTCCTGAGGGGGGTTCTGTGACCCCACGCTCTCACACACGGGGTCTCTGGCGCCTCCTGAGGGGGGTTCTGTGAACCCACATTCTCACCTCACGGGGTCTCTGGCGTCTCCACCGGGGGCTCTATGACCCCACTTCCTCACACACACGGGGTCTCTGGCGCATGCTCCTGAGATGCTATGACCCGCCTTATACACATACGGGGTCTCTTACCACGTCAAATGCAGCGTTTCATCTATAATCTATATAGAAGCCTGTGACAATTTCAGAAAGAATTGCTATTTCTTAAAGAATTTCATACAAATAATCAAATTACAAAACGTTCCAGTTAGAAATGGCGTGCAAAATTTCTAACGGTGATTTATCACAGTGATCACCGATTCACGATCACGGTCGTGATTTAACTTCATTTACTCATTGCGAATTTGCTCATTGCGATCGTAAGTCCTTGATCTTTAAACAGGAAAACGTATTCAATATGATTTTACGATGAATTACATTACTATTTGTGTTTGTGAAAATCAGTAGAAAAAACAAGAAATTCTAAAAGAATGATTTTCTAGGTAACATGTAGATTATAATCTATAATCATTAATTTATTCATTATTCTTCGTTGTTTCTAATTATTCCTTCACTTTATACGATATAATTCGAATTTTTGCTTTTGATGTCGTTAATATAAAATATACAGATTATGTGTCGCTTCTAAAGAACTGTTAGGTTTCTCCACCAATCAGAAACGATGACGAGAAATCACGAATCACTGTGAAAAATCACCGTGATTCACAAGTAGCAGTTCACGTCATCTCTACTGCCATATGCCCGCACGCTGCAGGTTGTTGCCCGCTAGTGAGTTTGGCGGGCGCTGAATTGCTCATCACTGGATTAAACAAACACGAGTTATCTTTCCAGCGCACCTTTTTTGAACCTTAAGGAACGTATATTAATACCCTTTACGGATTGATAAACAATAATCACAGTAACAGTGTTATAATCACACTTGTTTGTAACGGTTGACAGTCAGTATCGCCATGCATACCCCGTTTAGTTCAGTTTAGACAATTCTTACACCGTTATGCGGACAGCTTTCAGCTTGATCAAGCATTAGATTTGAAGCTTAAAGAACGTAGATTAATTCCCGTATATTGTTAATAACAATAAAGAACCAGAACACTGTTAAAATCGCATTTAATCGCGTCATACCACTATTTTTTTGACCGGTGGCGCCACCGTGGCGAATCGTTGAAACTGCTAGCCAAATTATACCGACAGGTAAGTGAAAATTTCTGGTGTTGGAAAAATACGAATATCTCAGTAATTAGACGCTCCAAATGAACGTCGTTAGTCTCAAATTATTTCTGAGAAACCAATGCATCGATATAAAACCGGAAAACTCCATAATTATAGGAATTGTTTCTGTCAGTGGTGTTGCTGTTGACAGAAATAATTCTTCTAATTATGAAGTTTTGCGGTATTACATCGATACATTGGATCGTCAGGAATGATTTGAGACCAACGACGTTTATTTTCAGGGCCTAATTACTGAGATATTCGCATTTTCCAATCACCAGAAATTTTCACTTACCTGTCGGTAAGATTTGCCTAGCAGTTTGACCGATTTGCCACGGGTGGCGCCACCAGTCAAAAAAATTAGTGGTACTCCGTGATTAAATGCAATTTTAACAGTGTTCTGCTTATTTATTGTTATTATCATTATGAGGAGATTAATCTACATTCCTTAAGCTTCAAATAGACTGCTTGGTCAAGACGAAAGCTGTCCGTATAACGCTGTGAGAGCTGTTCAAATATAAACTTAACGGGGAACGCATGACGAGACCCAGTGATAACGTTTCAAACAGTTGTGATTTTAACAATGATCTTCTGATTTCTGTTTTTCAACTAATTCAGGGTATTAATCTAGGTACGTTCTTTCATTAGAAGCAGCACACACAGTTATATTACTTTCTCCAACTACCATCCGATTTTTTGT